GCACTGGCCTACTCGTTAGCAAAAAGGCCAGTGCAGTGCAGTTTAGCAGCCTAGTTAGACTGTGCCTTGCCGCTTGCGGCTTAGCCTCGCCTTGCCATGTAGTGATCTGTTGCCTTTACAGTATCGCCTTCAACCCAGGTTAGCCTCAGCCTGGCCTGTTGCCTTCTTACAGTGCCTTTTCAGCTTATGGGTCAAACACCCTGCCTTGATCAGGACGATTGGCTTAGGCCGCCTTCTGAGGATAGCCTACCAAGCCTTGCAGCGGAAGGCTTCGCAACTATACAACAGGAAGACCTTCGCCTCTTCCCCTCCAGAGAGGGCACAGAGCTCTCATCAAGCCCTAGCACTCATAGCCTTCCAGCCAATCTGCCAGGCCCTGTTTCTTCCGAACTGCCTCAGCCTCGGTCTCTGGATATAAGACCTCACTTTATGTACATAGCAGGCCTATCTCACCAGTTAGCATACAGACTGGAGCATTTCCGACTGCCGCTGCCAGGTCATCACCTTGTGGATTCACTGTATGGAACTCAGCCTTGCTCGCTTGTGCTCCTTTGCCTGGAGTCACACTCTTGGAGAGCGCTGAGCCTGTCACGACCGCGTTGCCTTTATAGCCCATCGCACAGCCATGCCTTTGCCTTTTCAGGCCTGACGCCTAAGCCTCGTCGATGCCGAGTCCCGTGCTCAGCCGACACTAGGCACATAACTATCGGCCTTGATTAGCAGCCGTCACGCCAGAGTTTCTGCTCTACAGTCTTACGCAACTGTCCCCCGACCCTTCAAGAGCCTCGCAGCCTATCATGCCGCGCGCAGCAGCTGAGCGCAGGGTTTGGGACGCCAATTGGAATAGCCACAGCAGCCCCGCCTATCAATTTAACGGTGGGCAGCCTACAGGAAGTGCCTCTTCCCAGCTCAGCCAGATTCAGCGCCTCAACGCTGGCCTCTCGGGGCCACAAGCCTTTCAAGCAGATCATAGCCACATGACAGACCTCCTGCCTTCAGCCCACGCGGAGATCCAGGACGACTTTGCCTCAGATTTGCCCCACGATCCGTCAGCCTCTGCCTCCTCGCCACAGCAACAGGCCAACCAGGCTGACATAGCAGAACTCAATCGCCGACTACAAAGCCTCGACCTACGCGTTCGCATATTGGAAGCTGAGCGCTCCGGCGCACAACAAGCCTTGTGGCATTATCATAGAGCTGCAAGAGATAGCCAACGCCTTCGCAGCCTCATTTCGCCTTGGGCTTTCATGTCTGCCAAGATGGACTTGATCAGGAGCCGATTGAATCTCACTTTCACTCGCCTCGAGAATCTGCTCACAGCCTTGCAACAGTCTTGGCCCAATTGGGCAGCCTATTTTTCGCCAGCCGCTTTAGACAGGCCTAATTATCAGGGGGCGGATTGGGAGGCTTCCGAAAACGAAGCCTGACCCAGCCTAGCCTTCTTTTCAAGCCTCATTGCGTGGAGCCCCCTGTAGCCTCTGATAGCCTCCGGAAAGAGTTTGATTTCTTGCCCGTTACAGCTGGTGCGACGTGAGCCCTTCTTCTCCACCTCAGGTCGGCCACAATGCACTCAGCCAGGGCCCCATCCAGCAGCGTTGCTCTGACCGTTACTAATTTCCAGCGCGAGTTGCTACTACTCATTTCCGGCGCGAGTTGCTACTGCTCAAAGCTCTCATTCCAAGCGTTCAACCTTAGCCTCAGCCAATGGCCCCTCGCCGCAGATCTAAGCCAGCCTCGCCCTCTCCAGGTCATAGCCGTGGGGCCAGTGCAAAAGCCAAAGCCTCCATTACGGAGGATTCTTCACTGTCCAGCGACATCGAGCGATTCCTGGAAGGGGAGTCAGAAGCCGAAGCCGGAGCAACATCACACACCTCCGGCCCTTCGGGTCCGACGCGGCCGCGCAGCCCACCTAAAGGGCCGCCTCCGCCTAGGCCGGTTAATGAGCCTGCCCGGAGCCGATCTCCTACGCCTTTGCCTACCATTGCCAATGCCTCTCCTTCCGGGCCGCCTCCGCCGACACCAGCCTTTATACCGCCGACGATGCCTACATCTACGATTGCAACTGCTTCGCCGGCCCCGCCTACTCCGTTGCCTACTACAGCCACGGGGGTAGTCACTTCGCCCTCAGCCACTATTCCAGCGGTCAAGGCCAAAGCCAAGATTCGGGCACAAGGATGGCGAATTGAAATCTGTATTCGCCCATTAGACGACTAGCCTTCAGCCTCTGAGTGAAAAGCGTCGCAAGCCTGAGCCTTTTGCGTTGCAAGCCAACCCGCTTGCATAGCCCTTGCCTCGCCTCAGGTCGGCCGATCTCAGACTACGACTACACCGCGTCTCAGCAGCCTCAAGGACTGCCGTCACGCCTGCTTCAGCAGCCCAACACTTCAGCCGGCACTAGTCCTCAGATGCCTCTGCCCTAGCCATTTCTGACATCCAGCAATCTCTAGCACTTCCGCCTCATATCAGCCCATCATGGAGCAGTTCGACGCAACTTTTGGGCCCTGGCTGGCGACGCTCAGCGAGGACGAGAAAAACGCGCTGCTAAGCAAGGTAGCCGCTTCAGCCGGCCTCAGCGCAGCTCCTTCCACGGCCGCGTCGGTCCAATCGACAGCCGCGGTGCCGGCCTCTTCTCCGGCCTCTTCCCAGCAGCCGCCTATTCAGCCTCCGCCGCCAGCCTTGGGGGGCAGATGTCCCCATAGCCTCAGACTCGGCACCTCAGAGCACTTTCAGCCCACAAGAACTAGCCAATCAGCTAGAATGGTACGAAGACCAACAGGGATGTTTCCAGGGAGACCTACCCCCTAGCTGAGATAGTGCCTTCCCAGGATTCGTCCTCGCCTATCCGGAGCAAGCCTCGCAAGGGCCGCCTGAGCCTTGGTTGCCGGGAGAGACGCCCTGCCTCTACAAGATCACTGGTGGGGCGGTAGCCTATGCGGACATAGCCGAAATTGCCTCTTACAACCGTGAGATGCTCTTGCTGTGGAAGACACCGGAGTCGGTTACGTCCGAAAAGCATCTGAACCGCTACGAGATGTGGGCCTTCATCCAGCGCAAGCCTATATTCCGCACGGAAGGAGTTTGGGCACCTAAATCGGCCTTCGGTGGGCTGCAGCCTCCCGATTTTTTTTGCCCACACTGGTCAGACCCTCCGGAAGAGCCTATCTTGGCCTCGGCGGCGCCCCCAACCTCGACCAAGGAGTCTTGGGCTGATGCTACGGATGAAGCCAATGACGAGCCCAAGCCAGCCAATCCAGATCCAGGCCGGCAGACCAACAAGCAGCCTCAGGGACAATACCTCAAACCCGTGCCTCAGCAAGAGTACTTACCCAAGTCGGCCCATCCCTCCATACAGGTGAAAGCCATGCCGACACCCCCTCCTAAAGCCGAACCAGCTCAGCCTTCGCGGTTGCCTCCCCAGCAGTCCTCCGAGCAGCCCCAGCCTGAACCCATCAGACCACAAGAAGTTCATGGCCTACTGACCTCGGATGGTGGACGCGTGCCTATAGAAGACATCAACTCCGGCGTATGGGAGCCTGAGGACGGGGAGCTAGATCCGCGCCTACAGCCTCGCTACATCGGAACCAAGCCTGAGCCTCCCTTCGGCTCGGTGATGATCTACCGGGGCAAGCCTTGGGTGAACGCCTATGGAGGACAGCTCCCGGAGCACGAGATGCATGAGGTAGCCTGGCCATGGTACACAGCCTATCGCGACGATCTCACGTGCACAGTTCCTACTATGCCTCCATGGGACCTCAGCCGCTGGGTACACCATGAGATAGCCGCTGGACGGTTCACACATCCCGGCCTCCAGCCTCAGCCTCAGCCTCAGCCGCAGACAGTTTCTTCTTCGTCTTCGGATGACGCCGAGCCTCACTACCCCAATCTGCCTCGAACGGTCATCAACCTCGACCCCGAGAGGTGGAACACCCACTTGAGCCGATACTGGCACCATGGGGCGAAGGGGCTGGGCAATCCTCGAAACATTCGGGCAGCCTATCGAGAGATCACACAAGCCCTGGCAGCCGACGGATACCCGAGGCCTATTTTGAACGTCCGCAAACAAGAACGCTTCGACCCGCCGCCCAGCCTCTTCTCCACCCAGCCCCCGGCCTTTGCTTCGAGACCTCAGCACCGAGCCTTGCGGGGGTGCATCATGGTCCCCAGCCTCAGCCTGCCGGACACCTACAACACAAGCCCAGAGTTTGCGCGAGCCTACTATATGGACAACAACGGCCGCATGCGATGCATGCTCCCCTGCTCAACAGCCCCTTTTTGCCCATTCCAGAGCGCATGTGCAAGGCCTATGCACACCGGAACGGCCGAGACCTCTGATGACCACCACGGCCACCAGTGTAGCCGCTGCAAGGAATTTGCCCATCTTGGCCGCAGCCCATTTGAATGGTTCGATGCAGTGCCCAGAGATGCATTGCCCTGAGCCTACATCGAGCCGATCAGCCTATGTGATATCAGGCAGAGAGACCTCTCAGCCCGGTTCCTTACAGCCTCTGAACAGCCCGAGCGAAAAAAGAACCGAGCGGCCATTGAATAAATTCGCCCCTTTACCACATGCCGATAATTGCTCTCATCACCGCGTCACAGGACCCGGGCGGCCACTTGCCGACGCTTACGCCCCAGGACTTGGGCCTTCAGCCTCTTTCAGAAACCGCCGCCGCCCTGCATTAGGCGACAGTACTCTCGACCCTCAGCGCATTGCCTCGGCCTCAGCAATGACGATGCCTAATAGCGGTCGCACGCAAGCCGGCAGNNTCAGCTCCCCGGAGAAACCTAGGAGCGACTCTAGCCAAGACATAAGCACACTTCGGTCATGGACAGAGGTACACTCCCGGAGATCCCCGTCTCCGTCGGAAGGGGGACAGCCTCTGAGCACGGTGGAGCCCCTGCCGAAGGCCCCGGAGCCTCCGGCCGCCCACCCTTCAGCCCACTCTACCTCGCCTACGGCCTCACCGACGGACGTGACTCAGCAGGACAGCTCCTCGCAGGTGGTGTGCATAGCCAAAAGATTCCGGACAAGGAGCCAAAGTCGTCAGCCTCAATTGCCTCTTCAGTCTGTCTGCGCTTCAACGCAGGTGCCTACGGACAGTCCGGCCCACGGTGCCGGGCTTTTCACTCATGCGGTTCCTGTCCCGAAACCCCAGCCAAAGCCTCTGCAACCAAAGCGTCAGGGGACGCTACGGCCGACCCCGCCGTTTTCCATTGCCTCTATCAAGAGGCCCAGGATGCCTTGGGATCTCCCAAGTCGCGCAGCAGAGAGTAAAGAAATACCCTTCCGGACAAGAGCCAAGGTCCCCACAGTGCCTCATAAAGGAGGGCTAGTCCAGGCTTTCTTCGCTCCGGAACCCAGGTGGAGCGGTAGCCTCTTGGGCCCAGCCTTTCCCAAACCGCACCCAATGCTTAGACCACCTCCCAGAAGCCTCAGGTTCTGCCCTCCAGCTACACTGGCATATAGGCAGCCCAGAGTTCCAACTAGCTTCTCGGTCCATGACCTGCCGGCCACAAGAGACCTAGGCTTGGCCACACGCCTCGGGCCTCAGCCCCGCCACATCCGGGCCCTCTGCTCAGAGAACACCAGGAGTCAGCTCGCAAGGCGGCGTGTGCTACACAATGGCGCCAGCTGCTGGAGATCCTGGGGCCGGAGAGTAGCTCCCTTCAGCTGCACTTGATCAGCTCAAAGCACCCGGAAGCCTTAGCAGCCAAGAGCCTCTCGCCTTTCACAGCAGGAACAGTCGAACGGTATCTCTCCTCAGTCCGACAGTTTATCGACTACCTAGCCTTTCATTGCATCGAACTCGGGGCATTGACCACAGCCCAGCTAGCCGATTTCCTGCATGCCTGCGAACAAGGCCTCGAAGAGGACAGGGAAATTTGCCGCCTCGACCCGAAGTCGGCACTTAAGGCCCTGTCGTGGGTATCCAGGACTGCAGGCCTCTCTCCCCTAGCCGCAATCCTGCAGGACAGCCTCATCGCAGCCTTCCGATCTCAGAAGGTCGCGGATAGACGCGAGGCTTTGCCGCTCCCCTTGGCGGTCGTCGTGGCCTGGGAGAGACGCCTCTGTCAAGCCGACTGCCCGGCTGACCTATGTATTCTCTTGGGAGGCTTCTTGCTCGCATTGCACGGAGGCCTACGGTTTGGGGACTTGCAGAGAATTCGCCTAACCAGCCTCTCGCTTACACCCTCAAGCCTCAGGGGGATATGCTGGCAGACCAAGACGACACGCCAAGGCCAACCTTTCGCGGTCACACTCACGGGCCTTTCAGGCATTTTCTTCGGGCAGTCCAAGCAGCCTGGATTCGGACAGAAACAGCCTACTTGCAGCCTCTGAACCCAGACTTTATTTTGCCTACCCTCACCAACCTAGGGGGTTCCAGTTCGGGGGACTCCGCATACCACAGCCCTATGTCGTACAGCCAGGCCCTTAGTGCCATGCGATTTGCCATGGGAGTTCCCTGGCAGCATTCCTCCCAGCCAGCCCCCGTGTCTCCGGAGGAAGCCATAGCCTTCACCCTGCATAGCCTCAAAGTCTGTCTCTTGTCGGCAGGAGCACAAGTGCGGACAGCCGAACAAGCCAGACAGCGTCAAGGACATCACAAAAGCCCCAGCGTCCAACTCTACAGCCGAGATGACACGCTCATGGCGCTCGACCTACAAGCCCAAATCACTCAAGCGTGCGCAGAGGGGTGGCAACCGACTCGTCCGATTGCCCGAGGAGGACAGCCGCCAACTTTGGAACCGCCTTTCGAGGTCCCCAGATCCACCCCGCCCAGCAGGTTCCCCCTGGACTCGTTCGGTGCAGGCCTATCCCGCTTCATTTACTCTAGAGAGGCCGAAATGGAGAAAGCCTTTCTGCCACGAGCCGAAGATGACCTTCAGCCTATGATCGACGAATCAGGTCAAGCTGTCCCATCCTCGCCGGCCATACCAGACGACGACCACGAAGCCTTGCTGGTGGCACGCTTCGCAGCGGAGCACGATTCATCCTCGGATTCAGATCAGCCCAAGGAGACGGAGTCGTCAGAGCCCACAGCCTTTAGCCTTTTCCGGAACGGACCGTGGGGATGCATACATGCCTGCCTGGAAGCCTCGAACAAAGCAGCGTGCGGAGCAATTCGCTCGGCGGCAGCTTTTAGCCCCACGGATCCGGACCCCACTTTTTTCTGCCGCAGAAAGGCATGCGCAAAGCTCCTGGACTCGTGGGAGTGATAAAAGTCAGATGTGCGCAGCCTCCTTTAGCGCCGCAAACCGTCCCGAGTCAACACAGAGGGGACCGATCGCCGCCTCAGCCATCTCTTCAAGGTAGCTACCGATCCCCCTACAAGCCATGTCCAACGCGTCAGCCTCGGATCTGGCCAAGTTCCTCAAGGACAATGCCGTCCATGAGGTTCTCTCGCAAGCCCTGGCCCTTAAAGGTCTGGAGACGGTCGAGGACCTGGCATATGCATACCCCGATTTGGCCAGCCTTGATAGCCTCCTTTCCAGCCTCTCGGAAGAGGACATGAACGAAATGGGCGCAGCAGATGCCTTACATGGAGTTCAGGCCGCCAGGCTCCGCCGAGCTCTCCGGGCAGCCCATGGACTGTCTCATCAAGCCCAGCAGCCCTCGCCCACGCCGGAACCTTTGCCTTCGGTACAAGCCGCTCTGATTCCGCAGGCCTCGCCTACGTCCTGGATGGAAAACCTGCCTCCCAAGCTCAGCTCCGAAGCCGTCCAAGACCTCGTCAGCGA